AGATACAGTTTCTTTTAAAAAATATTTTTATTGATTTCAGAGAGGAAGGGAGAAGGAGAGATAGAAACATCAATGATGAGAGAGAATCATTGATCGGCTGCCTCCTGCAGGCTTCCCCCCCACCCCACCCCCCTGTTGGGGATTGAGTCCCCAACCTGGGCATGTGCCCTGGCCAGGAATCGAACCCTGACCTCCTGGCTCATAGGTCAGTGCTCAACCACTGAGCCACGCTGGCTGGGCTGGTTATGTCTGACTTTCAAGCTAACTAGATAGTGAGCTCCTCAAAAATATGAACTTAATCTTAGAGATATCTATATCCAACATTATCTAACACAGTTCCTGATATATAAAAGTTGCTCAGTTAATTCCTTCAGTAGGTGGATGATGCCATACTCTGTCTTCGATTGTAATTGTGTGTTCATCTTTTCCCCCTCACAGGGGACTGAGTGTGAGACCATGGTTGTGGTACCCAGTACACAGTTCGATATTAGATTTAATTCTCTCTGAGGGTAGAAGGTAGCAGATTGTTCAAGGAGAGTGGAGAGAAGACTGTGTCGTGATTCACACACCAAACTGGTGTTAGGATAGAAGGGTTGCCAGATAATGGAAGAAATAATTTTTTTGTCTTTATGGAAAAGATTTTGTCCCTGAAAACATTGCATTTACTTATTATCCTCAATTTTTTTTGACTTGTCAGTTAAGAGAGGCATTAGATTAAAGATGTTTGCAGCTGCCAGGGATGGCAGATCATTCTTTTCTGTGTTTTCTAGGAAGGCCTGGAAAGCCCCGCCTCACAATCACCACACTCATTTGACTAGCTGAGTCCTCTCATACTTATCTTCAGCCTGGAGGTCACCTCAGCTGAGAAGTCTTCCTTGATTTCCTCGAGATGTGTTTTAAGTGTCTCTCTTCTTTACTCTGTAGTACTCTTTTCTTTCCCCTTTTGTAGTTTTGCCATGCAACATTGTGATAGTGAATTGTTTGTCTCTCTCCCTCATTGAAGTCTGAACTACTTGAGGGAAAAAAAGCACACTCTATGTCTTTATTCACCTCTGCGTTTCCAAGGTTTAGCACAATTCCTAGCAAGAGTAGACACTTAGAAAGGTTGGGAGGATGAACATACAGTTTTACTAGAGAACGTATCCTTCAGAGCACAGCTATTTAGGTTAATATGTTAAAATATACAAAGCTCATTCAAATAGCTTCTCATTTAACCCTCCATCCTATGCCTATGAATCAAGCACTGTTACCCCTTTTACAGATGGGAAAACAAAGAGTCAAAGAGATGCACAGCTAATTAATGACAAAGCATGGATATAACACTAAGCCTTTTGATTCCGAACCCACTGCAGCCGTGACATTGGATCGAAAGTTTATTTTCTAACTGTTTCAACTGAATGAAGCATCAGTACCTCAGAAATAAAATGTATTATAATCTGAACTCATTGGAGCAAAGAGAGAAAACATGATGATTCTCAGGATTGGCACAAATCTGACTGTGGAGAAGCCGGCCAGGAACTATTCTCAGTGAGCATGCTTCAGATTTCCCAGCAAGAGTAGTTTTACAAAAAATTACAGATGCTTCAAAATTTATGCTGATTTCCAGAATTTGTTCCATGAATGAGGATGGGGTTGTGTAACATGATCAAATAAGTGAACAATCCAGATCAATGCAACTTGTCAAAGTTGTATTCCATAAACGTTTTTCCCATTTTTATATGCTGATTTCAGGAGAAAAGTTCAAAATAATTACATGAAAGACAGTTAGGGCTCCAAAATATATTTGCTTCTCTGGTTTTCCCAAAGGAATCTGGAGTGGAGTTATGATGCTCATTGACAGTAAAGGTTATTCCTTCAGACAAGGATAACTATAGTTTCTTTGAAACTTACCTTTGGAAAGAGAGAGAGTTGCAGATTTACCTTGTTGCAAACAGATCATTCCCAGTAGTAAAAACAGTTTATTCTTACTCATAGGCATTTTTGATTCAGAGTTTTTTCCTGAAATTTTAAAGAGTCCAGAGAAAATCAAAATAGAAAGCCTTGTGAGACCAGCAGTAAGCCCATTTAAAAGGAGGTTATTCATTAACCAAGACTTGGGGCATTCAACCATGTCCAGATGATGTTTCTGAATGTGGTTTCTTGCAAAGATCTTTGTAAGATGTGGGAGTCAACCACAGAGCATAGTCTTGTTCAAGCAGTATTACATGTCCCATTACATTCGCATCAATTTGTTGCTTCCCAGAGTGTATCTGGCTAGCCAAGTGGTTGGTATCTAAGTAATGGTTTGCAAACATTACTTATTTCTTAGTACAAGTTACCGCTTTCTACAAGAGGGTTGGACATCAAAGTTGTCCTTGTTTGCAAAGATATACTGGACTACATGCCTGCAAACAACCCATGAGAATATGCTAAGCCATTTTTCTTTCTCTTATTCTCCAAGTGTAAATGAATAGTTATAAGCATGTGCTAGAAAAGGAGAGGAAAGTTAATTTGGTGGCACAGTCAGGAAGTCAGGTGACTGGCAGTCATTTCGGGTACTGTCTACTGGGGAATTTGTGAATCTGCATTCTCTCACTATTGTTTGTATTTACAGGAGGCAAACACTAAGTCTCCTTCACTTCTACCCTTGGCAGCTGATGCAGTTGATGTGGCATGGGAGGTGGCTCTGATTATGTGCAAGTCTTCTTCCCTGGCTGAGTTTGTGACACATGGTCAATGTGTGAGAAACAGCATGGATTGGCCAGTGCTATCTATGACCACGTAGGAATAGGTATGAAAAGCGGGAAATGCCAAGGCTGAGTGAGTTAAATTGGGGGTCACTTTGACAGACAACAGCATCATGGGTTTTCCTGCAGCCCCCTAAGGAACGACTAAATATGAACCACAGGACGGTTGTTCTAGGTCATAGCTGCTTCTCAGAAATAACACAGATGAGAGAGAGAGATAGAAACATCAATTATAGGAGAGAATCATTGATCGGCTGCCTCCTGTGGTGAAGATATTTATTACAAAGTATAGGTGAAGTTATTTATTACAAAGCATAGCCCCACTAATTATGTTGATCCAAATAAAGTCTCAAAACTAATTAGATCTATGCATTGCAGTGCTTATATGCAAATAATGAAGAGAATAAATGAAGCCCCTGAGACCTTAATTAGTATATCAGGCAGCATACTGGTATCGGTACATGTAAATACAGCTAATTTTCTCAGTCTCATTGGATTTTCAGTGGAATGTTAGCAAACCTGTGCATATCTGATGCTGAGGTACGTAAAGTCTTGTATTCCAAATGGTCCTCAGTCCAGCACAAATAAGCCCTGTTTTATAGAGATGATTCCTGGAGTCTGTCCCCTTATAATATTTGACCAGCAGGTAGGATTTGTTACTGATTTTTAAGTGTCCTTTGCATATGTAGATGCTTATTTGAAGTATATTCTCAGTTATGGATATTCATTTATTGACATCCATTGTAGGTGTTCTAACATAACATCTCATTTAACAGTGACCTTGAGAGGCAAATGTTATTATTATATCATTTCTTAAAATAAGGAAACTGAGTCTCAGAGTGTTATGTAACTTTTCTAGATCACCCAGCTATCAAGTGTCAGACATGGAATTTATCCCCCAGAGCTTTGGGGTCTGAAATCTTATTTTACTTTTATTACAGCACTGTATGTGTGCTTTTCAAATCATACTGGCATTCATATCATATTTTGAATTGGAGTCTTTCATGTAGATATTTTCTTATAAAAATACAAGATCTATTCTAGATTTCTGTCTTTTAAGCTGTGATGCAATCCTAGGGACTAATTAATGAAGCCAGAAACTGATTAAATGCATTGGTTTAATGACCACTAAATATTTTTCATAATGAAAGTGATGAATGATACGGTTCTGATAGTAATTTACCTGTACATATTGTAAAAACATTTTTAATGTTGACATTCTTTAAAAAGTAGCAAACATTCCATTGGGCAGTACAGGAGTCCACAGGTAGTTGAGGCCATTCCTTTAAAAAACAATGGCATTTCTTCTCTCTCAAGTAGCAGGCTTATGATATTTGATAGCAGTATTTCCAAAGTATTATTTGATTTGATTGTATTTTTTTATTTAATGGTACTGATTCTTTTCATTGTTTGGTACTTGCTTTTTCAGTGGCCTGACTTCTCTCTTACTGAGATTCTGGGTTGACCTCAAAAGTATGTGTTGTTGCAGTTTAGTTGAGCTTCTCTTTTTTAAACTCTTATGTTGATATTGACATCATATTTCTCTTAACTCAGCTACAAATTCCCCTCTAACACATCAAATGCTTTTTATTTTTTTAAACAATTTTTTGAATATATATTTTATTGATTTTTTACAGAGAGGAAGGGAGAGGGATATATAGTTAGAAACATCAATGAGCTAGAAACATCGATCAGCTGCCTCCTGCACGCCTCCTACTGGGATGTGCCTGCAGCCAAGGAATTGAACCTGGGACCCTTGAGTCTGCAGGCCTACGCTCTATCCACGGAGCCAAACCGGTTAGGGCTCAAATGCTTTTTAATCTGTCCACTATTCTCAACCGTTATTACTGCCATGCAAGCCAGCACCATATTTCAGGATTAAACTCTACAACATTCTAACAGATCTTTCTGTTAATTCTCTTACTTCTCTACAATTTTGTCCCCTTAGAGTAAAAAGCTAGATTTATTTTATATAATTTAAATTGTGTCATTGTTTACTACTTTGCATTGTCTTCCCATTGCACTTAGAATACTCCCATCATGGCTTCTTCCTAGCTCTTGACTTAATCTCCTTTTGCTCTATCCATCCACATTGGTTTGCTTTTCTTCAAATGCACAAAGCCATCACTTCTCAGGGCCCTTGCACTGGTTGCTTGCAGAATGTTCTTCCCTCTACCTTAGCATGGTTGGTTGGTTGGTGTCGCTTATGCTTTATTGGAAATGCCCCTCCACAGAGAGGTTTCTCCTGACCAATTTAAAATTAGCCATGCAACGTGCATGGTCCCAAACCCTAATCTGCAATGCTGCACAGCTCTTAAAGCACGAGGCCCTTTGTTGTGGAGACTGGAACTGTCTCCAGACACTTTCAGTTCTGCTTCGGCTTATTTTGCTGATTATCATCAACTTTCATGTAGTTTTAAAAAATATATGATTTCATTGATTTTTGGAGAGGAAAGGAGAGGAGTAGAGAGATAGAAACATCAATGAGAGAGAAACATCATTAAGCAGCTGCCTCCTTCACACCACCTACTGGGGATTGAGCCCACAACCTGGGCATGTGCCCTAACTGCCACTCACCTTGTCTTATACTTTTTCACAAAAATCAACTCAAAATGGATTAAAGACTTAAATGTAAGACCTAAAACTGTAAGAAAAAAATCGGAAGATTAAAACATATGGGGAAAGCTTCATGCCGTTGGTTTTGGCAATAATTTCTTTGATATGACATCAAAAGCATAGGCAACAAAAACTAAAACAGAGAAGTGAGAATACATCAAACTAAAAAGCCTCAGTGCGGCAATGGAAACAATCAACAGAGTGAATAGGCAACTACAAAATGGGAGAAAATGTATCTAATAAGGAATTGATTTCCAAAATATACAACTCAGTTAAAAAATGGACTAAGGATATTAGTAGACACTTCTCCAAAGAAGACATAAAAATGGCCAACGGGTACTGAAAATATGCTCGACATCACTAATCATGAAATAAATGCAAATCAAAACTACAGTGAGATACCACCTCACACTTGTCAGGATGGCTGTTTTCAAAGAAACAGGAGATAAGTGTAGGTGAGGATATGGAGAAAAGGGAAAGTCTTGTACATTGTTGCTGGGAATGCACAATCCTACCGCTGCTTTGGAAAACAGTATAGAGCAGTGATGGCGAACCTTTTGAGCTCGGCGTGTCAACATTTTGAAAAACCCTAACTTAACTCTGGTGCCATGTCACATATAGAAATTTTTTGATATTTGCAACCATAGTAAAACAAAGATTTATATTTTTGATATTTATTTTATATATTTAAATGCCATTTAACAAAGAAAAATCAACCAAAAAATGAGTTCGCGTGTCACCTCTGACATGCGTGTCATAGCTTCACCATCACTGGTATAGAGGTTCCTCAAGTAGTTAAAAACAGCTACCATATGTTTCAGTAATTTCACTTGTGTATTTTTCTCTAAAAGAATTAAATCAGTACCTCAAAGAGATATTAGAACTCCCATGTTCATTGCAGCACTATTCACAAGAGCCAAGATATGAAAGTAATCTAAATGTCCATTGACAGATAAATGGATAAAGAAAATTTGGTATATACATACATAGGAATAATACTCAGTCTTAAAAAAGAAGGAAATTTTGCAATATGCAACAACACGGATAGACCTAGAGGACATTATGCTAAGTGAAATAAGCCAGTACCAGGACTAATATGATTCTACTTTATGAGGCATCTACAGTAGTTAAATTCATAGACTTAAGAATGGAATGAAGGTAGTCAGGGGCTGGGGTTAGAGTAACATGGGGAGTTGCTAATCAATATACATAAAGTTTAATTAAGCAGGATGAGGAAGTTCTAGAGATCCGCTGCAGAACACTGTACCTGTAGTTAACAGCACTGTATTGTGTATACGTACTTAAAAACTTGTTAAGAGGATAAGTCTCATGCTAATGCTGAGTGTTCTTACCGCAATAAAACAAACTTTTAAAAAAGTGGGTCATTTATTCACTCAGTCATTCATTTGTTTAGTGCTGCTATGAACTAGGCACTCTGCGGTGCTCTAAAAATTAAGTGTTGAACAAGGCAGACATGATTCCTCCCTCATAGAAAGTGAAGGACAGTAGGCAACAAAGTTAACAAAAGGAAGCTAGACTTTGGGTGGTGAGCACGCAGTGGAGTATACAGATTTGGAATTCTAATGTTGTGCACCTGAAACTTATATATTATTAATCAGTTTTACCTCAATAAATTTAATTTTTAAAATTGCCCAATAGAAAATTTTAAATCATTAAAACAAAGTCAGAGCCAACTCAATGCCATGTAACACATACACAGGCAAAACAAACAAACAAAAAAGACGGTAAGCAATTATTTACAGCAGTAACTATATAATTGAGGACATGATAAGTGCAAAACATATTTAAGGGTTCTCTGAAACTGTTCCCCAGGATAATATAACTTAGTCCAATTTACATTCCCATTAGCAGAGTACGACGATTTCTTTTCCCCACATACTTTTCAACACTTGTTAATTCTTGTATTGCTGATAATGGCCATTCTAACAGGTGTGAGGTAGTATCCCATTATTGTTGTTAAGTTGTATAAGTTCTTTATATATTTTGGATATTAGCCCTTTATCAGCAGTACCAATTGCAGATATCTTCTCCCATTAGGTTAGTTGTCATTTTGTTTTATTGATGATTTCTTTTGCTATATAGTGTCAGATAGTCTAGTTTCATTCTTTTGCATGTGGCTTTCCAATATTCCCAGCACTATTTATTGAAGAGGCTTTCCTTTCTCCATTGTATGTTTTTGGCTCCTTTGTTGAAAATTTGTTTCCTGTATATGTGTAGGTTTACTTCTGGGCTCTCAATTCTGTTTCATTGGTCTGTGTGACTGTTTTTCTGCCAATCATACTGTTTTGATTATTGTAGTTTGTAGAATAATTTGAAGTCAAGGAGTGTGATACCTTCACCTTTTTTTCCCCCCTCAGTTTTCCTTTGACTATTTGAGGACTTTTATGGTTCCATACAAATTTGAAGATTTTTGTTCTAAGTCTGAAAAATAACATTAATGGGGATTGCATCAAATGTGTATATCAGTTATGTAATATGGCCACTTTTTAAAAATATATATATATTATTGATTTTTTACAGAGAGGAAGGGAGAGGGATAGAGAGTTAGAAACATCGATCAGCTGCCTCCTGCACACTCCCTACTAGGGTTCTGCCCACAACCAAGGTACATGCCCTTGTCCAGAATCGAACCTGGGACCCTTCAGTCCGCAGGCCGACACTCTATCCACTGAGCCAAACTGGTTAGGGTGTAATATGGCCACTTTAGCACTGTTAATTCTTCCAATCATTGAACACGGCATATCTTCCCATTTCTTTGTGTGTTATTTGACCTTATTTCTAGGATATAGTGATTACTCCAAGGCTGTAGTCCCTCATGACTCTCAAATAAAAGCCTAGGGTATTATGGGTCCCCTTTACCTCAAATAGCCTATCTAACAAACTCTATCAAACCAGAACTGGAAAACGCCCAAGTCTCTGCTAAGATCTTCAGCCTCCCACAGGCTGATTTCCACCGGCGTTTTGATATCTCACCAGCCCATGTGTAACTTTATGAGAAATTACACATGGAATTTCAGGCTCATATTGCTACAGTTTTTTTCTTTTCCAGGATCTTGGCCTCACAAGTCTTAGCTGCCTTGCCTTCTTTGACCTCAGACTTCTATGCACTCACCTACCACACTGCCAAAAGCCTTACGCTGTATCTTTTTGCTCAATCTCTATTCCTCATGAAATCATTTGGCAAATGCATTTATTTTTGAGGCATAAGGAAGGTTTACTGAGGAAATGACTTTTAAGTGGAGACAGAGGAAAATAGGAATGAAGTGGTCACTGAGAGCTGGAAATGCAGTTGCAGAAACTTCGGTGGGTGGGTGAAAGTAGTGATGTGGGAGGTTGAACTAATGATCCTTAACCAAAGTACTGTGTCTGGTACAGAATCAGCCTTTAACAAATATCTTTGTGTTAAATATTAACTCTAATTCAATGAATATTTATTTAGTGTCTCCTTTATTCTTAGCACTAGGTTATTAGCTGAGGAAACAAAATTGAATATATCATGTGCTTTTCTTTCAAGAAGTTAAAAATAATCAAAAGAATGTTTCTTTAAAAATGGTTCCCATTCAGCTGGCATGAATAAAGTGCTAGTTGCCATATTTTAAACTTTTTAAAAAAAAATTAATGTTCTGTTTTTAACAAAAACTGTATATATTTAAGGCATACAAGTTGATGTTTTGACATACATGTATATAGTGAAGTGATTAATATAGTCACCCTAATTAACATATCCATCTCTTTTCTTTTTATTGATTTCAGAGAGGAAGGAAGAGGGAGAGAGAGATAGAAACATAAATGATGAGAGAGAATCATGGATTGGCTGCCTCTTTCAAGTCCCCTACTGGGTGGGGATCGAGCCCACAACCTGGGCTTGTGCCCTTGACTGGAATTGAACCTGGGACCTTTCAATTCATAGGCCAATGCTCTATCCATTGAGCCAAACGGGCTAGGACCCATCTCTTTTCATAGCTACCTTTTTTTGAGGGAGATGGTATTGTGAGAACACCTGAAATTTATTTTCTTAGCAAATATCCAATATAAAATACAACATTATTAACTACAGTTATCATGTACAGTAGCTCTCTAGAACTGAATCATCCTACAAAACAGCAACTTTGTACCCTTTGACCAACATCTCCCTGATCCCCTTACCTCCCCAACCCTATTCTACTCTCTGCTTCTATGAATTTGACTTTCTTAGATTCCACATATAAGTGAGATCCTACAGTATATTTCTGTGTCTGGCTTATTTCCCTTAGTATAATGTCTCCAGAAATACCCATGTTGTCACAAATATCAAGATTTCGATCTTTCTTAATGGCTGGACAATATTCCACTGTGTACATATACCATGATCATGTGGTTTTTTATCTTTCATCCTGTTAATGTGGTATATCACATGGAGTGATTTGCATATGTTAAACTAACCAAGTATCCCAGGGATAAATCCCATTTGATCACAGTTTTGATTTAATTAATGAAATGAAGCAGCTTATGATAATTATATGAGGAGGTAGAGACTTTCACACTATGCAGGGGATATTTGTGAAAATGGAATGGTGAAGATTGTGGAATGGATGGTCAGAGAACCTCTAGTCAAATTTTAATCCAATATTAAACAAAAAATGGGACCTGGAGACTCAGTAGGTTCTGACCACTGTAATCAATGGGAAAATGAGAA